GTTAATAAATAACTTTTTCATTTTTAAAAATTAAAACCAGAAACGGAGTGTTACAAATTTAAACCCTAATTCAAGTGACAACTGAATCGAAATTAAATGTTTGGTTGAATCGCAATTAAGAATTACTTGATAGAAACACGCAAATAACACCAAATCAAATCATTAAACGCATAAAAGTTCAAAGTCTTTGCAGAACTGAACATGGCTAAAACATAATCAAAGTAGGTTCTAGGTTTAAAAGACAAAATCGTATATGGGTTTGCCAAAAAAATAACCGGATTGACCCGAGATCCGTTTATGATTTTAATAAAAAAAATTATATATTTTTTAAATGTTTTAATACATACGAAAACGAATTCCATGCAGTCCACATAAATAAATAATAGGATAACAAACCAACATGACAAAAACTTTATTCAATTGTTTTTTTTTTCATTTTTCGTTTTTTATATATTGTAATTAACAATTACAAATATCATTTATTATTTACGTACAAAATCACATTTTCACTATCATTTAAAAATTATCCATTTCTGCTTTTTTTTTTTTAACTTTTTATATTTTAACTTTAGCATTATCTTATAATATTTGTTAGCAAGAAATATTTTTATAGTTAATTGAAAATTCTGTGTTATTGTAACAGTGACACCGAGTTTTTTTTTCTCAATTATGTCATTATATTTATTATTTTGTTACAATGTCAACCAATTGACCGATTCATGAGATGTTATTATGGTTTAGAAGTTTGATTTAGAAGCTCGATTTATACAACACATAAGCAAATGTCGGTCCAATGGTTCAAACTCACTTACAAGTCAGCGAAAAGGGCATGATCACCATTTCAGGAGATGCTATTATGGTTTAGAAACTCAATTCGTACAACAAGTAAATGAAGACCCCTACAAGGTCGATCTAAGACCTCATACAATGTCAATTTGTACAACAAATACATGAATACCCCTATAAATGAAGATCCATACAAACTTGTTTCTAAACCAATTGACCGATTACCATCAATCTAACAGGATAACAAATAAATAACATGACAATATTGTGATGTGGAAGCCACGTAAGATCTTATGTGGTAGGATTGAGTTTCAAATATATGGTTTGCATCTAACCCAATTTAACATATCTTTTTAGGTCAATTTAGTGGTTCAAAGTCACTTAAAAGTCACCGAAAATGGCGTACTAACCCTTTTAGGTGAAACTTTTTATTATAATGTTTAATGTTTAATTTATGTTATAGTATTTCTTCACAATGACATCTAAATGTCAATCTAGTGGTTCAAACTCACTTAAAAGTCAGTGAAAAGGGCGTACTTACCCTTTCAGGAGATGCTATTGTGGTTTAGAAGCTCAATTTGTACAATAAGTAAATGTAGACCCCTACAATGTCGATTTAGAAGATGCTTAGTGAGTTTGAACCACTGAATCGACATTGTAGGGGTCTTCGTTTACTTGTTGTACAAATCAAGATTCTAAACCACAATAACATCTCCTGAAAGGATAACTATACCCTTTTCGCTAACTTGTAAGTGAGTATGAACCATTTGATCGATCTTCATTTATTTGTTGTACAAATCGAGCTTCTAAACCACAATAACATCTCCTAAGTCGGTCAATTGGTTGACATTGCAACAAAATTGTAAATGTAATGAAATAATTAAGAGAAAAAAACTCGATGTCAAAATCGAAATTTATGTAGTAATATAGTGACTTTCTTGCAAATTTAAACTCGATGTCAAAATCGAAATTTTGGTAAACTTAGTGACTTTATTGCAATTCGGGAAAAGTGGTTACCTATAGAACAGGAAGAACCGGTCATTTGGTTGATATTGCTACAAAATTGTAAATATAATAACATAATTGTGAAAAAAAATAACTCAGTGTCAAAATCGAAACTTTATGGTAATATAATGACTTTTTTGAAATTTGCCCAAAAGAATACAATGCTAATAAGGTCTTTAGAAATATTTTTATAGTTAACTGAATATCGAATCTAACTCACGAACCCGAATCTGGCCCGTTAACCTGCGACCCATATTAATAAACAGGTTGACTGGTCGTATACGGATTTATGTTCCAAACACTTCAACTCGTGACCTGTATAATTAAATGGATGGTGTCGAGATGAACAAGGCACGATTGTCAGGCCTATCCACATCCATCCATGCTTCCTTTTAAACATGAAAAATCAACAAAGAATGACATAGATCACGATATTCCACCAAAATCATAAAATGTTCCAAACATAACTTAAACGGTAAATTACACGAATGGTCCCTATGGTTTTGCATAATTTGCGCGTTTGGTCCCTAACTTATTTTTTAACTCGGAAGGTCCCTACTATTTCTTTTTTTTACGCGATTGGTCCCTATCTTACCTAAAAAGACTATTTTGCCCTTGATTTTTTAATTTATTTAAATAAACACACCCCAACCTCACCCCCTCACCTTACCTTACCTACCCCACTATTTTTCTCTATTTAAATAATAGTCTTTTTTGGTAAGCCAGTGACCAAGCGTGTAACAAAAACAAACAGTAGGGACCAAGCGTCTAACAAAAACAAATAGTAAGGATCTTCTGAGTTAAAAAAATAAGTTATGGACCAAACGCGCAAATTAACCCAAACCATAGGGACCATTCGTGTAATTTACTCTAACTTAAAATGAATGAATTCAATGCTAAAATGTGAGGCAATTATAATATTTAAACATGGTAAACCATGCATAGTGCATCTAAAAATATTCTACTTTTGCTAGTTCAACTATGGTGAACACATATTTATTGTACATTTTCTATTTAAGAAAATACGTCAAGTCTTTTTAATTTATTATTTATATGTCTGAATTAATAGAAAACTGAAAGTCTGGAACAATATGGTTACATCGATTAATTAAGTTTTCAACTAAACAACATAACTACGAACTTCATTTAGAAAAACCATGTAAATCCATAAACAAGAAAGAAAATCTTAGTTGGGTTGGGCTCATATAAAATTTGAAGAGAGTGATGAAATGCATTTGAGAGCGCTGGTGTTCTTTGTGAAAGTGCAATTTGTTCTTTCTTCGACTCTTCTTGTGTAATTCTTCCCGATGGAGTATTCTCGCAAACCTCTATACATATGAGAAATATTCAAATGAATAAAATATACATAAAATGCTTCGCATATATGTTATAAAATATATGCTAATTAAATATATTTATATGGGAAACATGAATATACTTTATTAAAGCCATCTACGTTGGTGGAATGATGGTAAGGCTCATATATGCCCATACCCAAGTTCACTCTCTTGCATGGTTGTTAAAATCGCGCATTGTTGTCAGAATCGGGATCCTGATCGTAGGATCGTACGATCCTAGGTATAAAAAATGATCCGGATTGTAAAAGGATCGTATTTGGGGTAGGATCGCAGGTAAGATCGTAAGATCGTAGGTAGGATCGTAGGATCGAGATCCGATCCGATCCTACCTTCCTTTAATTTTTTTTTTTTTTTTTTTTTTTTTTTTTTTGCAAATGAGTATTTTTTACCACTTTATGTCTTTTACCCTTTACCAATTTACTATTTATCATTTTGTATTGTGGCTTATGACTAATATTTTGAAGTTTTTATAAATTTTGAACGAAAAATTGAATGTTTGAAATATTTTTCATGATTAAAAATTAAAAATTAAAATTATATTTTATTTTGTGGGATCTTAGGATCCTGATCCCGATCTTGCAAACTCAAAAACGATCCTAGGTAGGATCACGATCTTGACAACCTTGCTCTCTTGACTTGTTTTTTCAACAACTCTTGTCCCACTTTCACAAGATTTTCTAAGTTTTCTTGTGCTGCCAAATCCATGGAAATTAAGTTCCCACTTAAAGTGTCACCCTGATATCATTTTAATTCACTATGTCATAATATGAAATCTTGAATCTTTTTAATACACAATGGAAAGGAAATATATTTACCTGAATACAAAGATAATTTTCTTGTGAATGAAGGGCTTGAAAGACGGTATAGATATGATAGTCAACGATATCGTCAGTCGAAATTAAGAATGACTAGATAGAAACACACAAATAAAACCAAATCAAATCCTTAAACACATAAAAAGTCAAAGTCTTTGCAGAATTGAAATATAGAGTTTTAGCCTGACATGGCTAAAAGAAAATCAAAGCAGGTTCTAGGTTTAAAAGACAAATCAAACTTACTAATATTGAAAAAAAAAATTCTAACTGCTATATTTTCGCCAAATACGCAGTCAAAGATCGTTTGGAGTCGTAAGATCAGAATTAAGAGAGATCCATAAAAGCCCTAACTTTGGTATTTAAATGAATGAAATAAAACTGAATATGGGCCTCACACGACCCTTGTGATTTTTGAGTAGTTCCACACAACCCGTATGGTCATGAAGGTGTAATACCCTCTCGTGTAAATCTTCCAAAGTACGTTGATGTGATGATAAACATCCTCATACACGTTCGTGTTAGATTAGACCACAAGCAAATGGATCGTGTTCTTTTGAAACACCTCATGTGTACTCCTCTCACACGGCCCGTGTGGAGTCCATGAGAATCAACACAACCCATATGAAAATGCTTGCTTACATGACCCGTGTTGATGTAGACCATAGCCACAAATCTGTTCGTTCTCTTCTAGCCAGATCTTTTATTTCTTTGCATCATCCTCGTTTCTTGTCAAAATCGCTTCAAAATTTGACCACAAACTCTTTTTTGCATCCACGTCCATCCATGCTTCCTTTAAACATGAAAATCAACCAAGAATTGCATAGATCACGATATTCCACCAAAATCATAAATTGTCCCAAACATAACAAAAAATGAATGAATTCAATGAAAAAATACGAGGGAATTACAATATTTAAACATGGTAAACGAGGTATAATGCATCTAACAATGATTCTACTTTTGCTAGTTCAACTAGGGTGAACGCATACATAGCCATGTGTTTTTAATTTATTATTTATATGCTTGGATTAACGTAAACTGAAAGTGTGGAACAATACGGTTACATCGATTAATTAAGTATTCAACTAAACAACATAACTACGAACTTCATTCAGAACAAACCATGTAAATCCATAAACAAGAAAGAAAATCTTAGTTTGGGTTGAGCTTATGTAAATTTGGAAGAGAGTGATGAAGTGCATTTGAGAGCGCTGGTGTTCTTTGTGAAAGTGCAATTTGTTCTTTCATCGACTCTTCTTGTGTAATTCTTCCTCTATTAGTACTTGGTGATCTAAGTTCTCGTTCCTTCTTCTCCCTGTGGAGTATTTTCGCAAGCCTATGTCATATGAGAAATATTCAAATCAATAAAATATACAAAAAATGCTTGGTATATATGTTTTAAAATATATACTAATTAAATATATTTATATGGGAAACATGAATATACTTTATTAAAGCCATCTCGTTGGTGGTATGATGGTAAGGCTCATATATGCCCGTGTCCAAGTTCACTCTCGCCACTTTTTTTTTCAACAACTTTTGTCCCACTTTCACAAGATTTTCTAAGTTTTCTTGTGTTGCCAAATCCATGGAAGTTAAGTTCCCACTTAAAGTGTCATCCTGATACAATATACCATGCTCATTTCATTTTATTTCAATATGTTATAATATGAAATCTTGATTTTTTTTATAATGGAATGGAAAAGTTACCTGAATACAAAGATAATTTTCTTGTGAATGAAGGGCTTGGAAGACAGCAGAGATATGATAATCAACCATATCGCCACTCGCCTGAGTAAATACATCCACCAATGGAACTGAGACACCACCACTCCCCTTAGTAAATACATCCCCCAATGAAGTTAAGCCACCACCGGCTGCCCACCCCAAAATCCCCCAACTTGATGACTCTGTAGCACCATACTTTTCTTTAAATTTTGGTGACCCAGTGCCCAATGACAATACTAGAAATCGTCCATATTCTGTTGGTTTTATTGGGAAAAAGTTTTCACCACCTCTGGTTATTTCCTTTGTTACTTCGCTTATGGCGACCAAAGTCTGAAAAAAAAAACATATTTAGCCAAAAACTTAAACCACATATATAGATGAGTAATTATTAGTGAATAAGACATATATACCGGATTGTTGGCTGCTATTGCACCATCGATAAGATTGAATTCTTTAAGTAATTTTCCTTTAGAATCTTTTGTTTTGAACGAATATGGAGGAAGATAAATTGGGGCAGCTGATGTTCCAATGCATATATCGGATAACTTAGCATCAAGATTTGGGTTCTTCTTTATCTAATAAACATGAATATTAATATCATATGGTTATCTTAAAAGGGTTAACTTGATGTAAGAGATAGCAAAAGAGTTTCATTTTGTATTATAACATTCTGCTCTCATATCGATCTATTAAAGCATTGCACTTTCTATCATACTTCAAAAATCTATCCATCTATAGTACTCTACTTTCAATGTTTTCTTATTAAGATATTATACTTTGAAAAAAGTCAAAACTAACCAATTAGTTCCTATGAAAATTGTTTTGTATTTAGATAAAGCTGCTATAATTGATAGATTTATTAAGATATAATGTTGTAATTTGAAAATCAAAAGTAAGATGCTATAATAAATAAACCAATGAAAGTGCATTTGTTATTTCTTTGCTTTTAACCTCTTTTGAAGACGCTGTTAAAAAAAAAACTCATCCTCTTGATTTCAATGTTAACATTTTTGGGCTTGAAAACTGATAACTTGATGGTTTTAGGAGCAAAAAATGTATAGATCGATGCAATACCTGGTAGCTTGAGAAGATCATAGGTTGCAAATATTTGATGTCAAACGTTGGAATCACGACATTTGTTAATGTTTTGTTAAGTTGTTTTTCTTTCGGTGTTTCTCGAATAACTTTATGTAAGTGTTCACCATCATATTTTGGTCTCGATAGAGCTTTGATCGCCTTTTTAGCAGCAGCTAACGAATGGTGCTTGCTACACAATGTAAATTAAAAATGCAGATTTAAGACATAACCAACCAACTTTTAGGAAAATTCTCCATCCCACTTCATGAAAAACAACTCATTCTTCACACAAAAACATGTTGCAAGGCGAGAATTAACGATGTACAAAACTGCGGGCCCAATTTTTTCGATAAAAAATGGAGAATTTCAACAACCAAACACTCAAATGTTCAAGATAAAAAATCATTGAAATATTTTAGAACTATTTTCCCATTATCGCATTATCGCTACAAGAACTGTCACAAATTAATTAAGTTGTTTTGTTGATAATTGTGGAAGTTTCCTTCAAACTTCAACATTGGATGATTTCTAGAATACCATTCTACACATGTGGTTTTAATTTGTCAAGAATGGGTGGTAGCATGTTTGTCAAGAATGGATGGTAGCATGTTTGTCAAACTTGGATGGTAATAGACAATTGAATTCATACATTCATTTGCCTATAAAAGGAAATGAAACCAAGCTTATTAAAAACACCACACCTCAAATTACATCTTCATTTTTCTCTCATATTCATACAAATATATATTTGATATATTTGTTTTTCTTTCCTCTATCTCTGTAAACACTGAATATTATAGTAAATTGGTTCTCGGCTTCCTCCGCCCGTGGTTTTTCCCGATTTGGGTTTCCACGTAAATATCGCGTGTTTTTTTCTTTTTATCGTTCGATTTATTCTTGGTTGATTATTCAAATAGTTTTATATTCCGTTGAATCGCTATCGTGATATTTGGGTTTTATACTTCGATCTTGAAGTTATCGATTATTTATTGTAGTCGATTTGTCTACAATTGGTATCAGAGCTATCCGGGTTTTCCGATAACGATTCGTAAAAAAAAAACTATTTTCAACCATGTCATCGATGAAGTACGATATTCCTTTACTTGACAGAAACACAAGATTCCCTCTCTGGCAAGTAAAGATGAAAGATGTGTTGATCCAAATGGATCTCCACAAAGCACTATTAGGAATGGAGAAAATGCCGGCAACTTGGTCGACTGAGGAAAAAGAGATGAAAGATCTGAAGGCGTCATCGCAGATCCGTCTGCATCTTTCTAACGACGTTCTCCAAGATGTGTTGAAAGAGACATCCGCAGCGGCTCTCTGGCTAAAACTCGAGCAGCTACTTATGACGAAAAGCTTGCCCAACAAGCTACACTTGAAGCAACGACTTTTTAACCTAAAGATGGGTGAAGGTAGTTCTTTGTCTGATCACCTCTCTACCTTTAAAGAGCTTGTAGGAAATCTGGAGAATATGGACGTCAAATACGAAGATGAAGACTTGGCGTTATTTTTATTATCTTCTCTCCCAGACTCCTACGATCACTTTCGTGACACCATTATCTATTCTCGGGACACTCTTGTCCTTGACGAGGTAATGACTGCTCTTGATTCAAAGGAAAAGATGAGGCAGATAGTTGGGAACAGTAGCAGCGATTCTAAAGCCGAAGGTCTCAACATCAGAGGGAGACCTAACGAGAGAGGTAGCTCTTCACAAAACCGATCTAGATCTAAGTCCAAAGCCAATCGCAAGTATTGCAATTATTGCCACAAGAAGGGACATCTGATCGATGAATGTTTCAAGTTAAAGAACAAGGAGAAAGCAAAGGCAATCGCAAAGGGAAAAACAACCAATAACACCGTTGAAGCCGATGTTGCCGAAACTGGTTCCGATGGCGAGCTTCTATCCGTTTCAGACTACGGTTTAATGACCACGAGTGAGTGGGTACTTGATTCAGCGTGTACTTTTCATATGAGCTCCAACCGAAGCGTTTTTCATTCATATGAAAAGGTTAACGAAGGCCACGTTCTAATGGGTAACGACACTTCGTGTCGTATTATTGGACGGGGTACACTCAGGTTCCGCATGTTCGATGGCGTTGTTCGAACGATTCAAGATGTGAAGCACGTATCCGGTCTTAGGCGAAATTTATTAAGTCTCGGTACTTTCGAGAAGAAAGGTTACGAGTTTGTTGGTAAAGACGGGAAACTCCATATTTTCAAGGAAGGTTCTGTGGTCATCCGAGGAGTTAGAAAATCCGCAAACCTTTACATTATGGATGGGCAAGTTATCTCCGGCGAAGTCTCGGTATGTTCTAAATCCCTCTCCAACGCTGATCGCTCTCGTCTATGGCACCTCAGGCTCGCTCACATGTCATACCATGGTATGAATGAACTAAGTCGAAGGGGGTTGCTCGGGGAGCACAAATCAATCGAACTTGAATTCTGTGAAGATTGTGTATTTGGAAAGCAGAAGCGAGTGAGTTTTATCGGTGGCAAACATACGACGAAAGGGCCACTTGACTACATACACTCTGATTTATGGGGACCAGCGAAGGATACATTGAAAGGTGGAGCCTCTTATATGCTCACGATCATTGACGATTTCTCAAGAAAGGTATGGTCGTTCTTCTTGAAGTCAAAGGGAGAAGTATTCCAAACTTTTAGAGATTGGAAAGTATTGGTTGAAAAGCAATCAGGTTTTGAAGTGAAATACCTTCGTACTGATAATGGACTGGAATTTTGTTCTGAAGAATTCAACTCCTATTGCCGTAGGGAAGGAATTACGAGGCATCGCACCGTAGTTCATACACCACAGCAGAACGGCGTAGCGGAACGTATGAACCGCACCATCATGGAGAAGGTCCGATGCATGCTATCTCATTCGAAGTTGCCGAAGTCTTTTTGGGCCGAGGCCGCTTCAACCGCATGCTACATTATCAACTGTTCCCCTTCTCGTGCTATTCAAAAGAAGACCCCATTTGAGCTTTGGTCCGGCCAACCTGCTGATTACACGAAATTGATTCCATTTGGATGTCCAGCATATGCCCGAGTTGATAACGGTAAATTGGAACCGAGGGCAATTAAATGCGTCTTTCTCGGATATCCGACAGGTGTTAAAGGGTTCAAATTATGGAGCCCGGAGCTAAGCAAGGTTTTGACATCTAAAGATGTGACCTTCGATGAAAAAGCCATGCTTCATCCTGTCTCCAACATTCAGACCAGAGAAAATGAAAATTCGGAAAAAGACAAAGTTCGAGTGGAGGTGGAGTTTCCTTTAAATTCATCTTTCGAGGACCAGTCTCATGAAGGTGTCAAGGTTTCTCAACCCTCGAATAATCAACATTCCTCTTATCATGAGCCAGCCGAAGCTCCAAGCCAACCTCACAGTCCCTCCATTGCAAGAGATAGACCTCGCAGACAGATTGTACCTCCAAAGAGATATGTTCAAGCCAATTCTGTCGCTTATGCACTTACAGTTGCCAATGAAGTTGAGTCTGTTCTGGAGCCCACAAGCTACAACGAGGCCATTCAATCCAAACATTCTAATAAGTGGATGGTTGCCATGCACGAGGAGATGGAATCTCTTCAGAAAAATGGCACATGGGATCTCGTTCCAGCTCCAAAGGGTAAGAAGACAGTTAAGTGCAAATGGGTCTACAAGTTGAAGGAGGCTATCCACCCTGGTGACAAACCAAGATATAAAGCTCGTTTGGTAGCCAAAGGCTACAGTCAAATCCCAGGTATCGATTATACCAACATTTTCTCTCCGGTTGTGAAACACACGTCAATACGTGTCTTGTTGGGATTAGTTGCCTCTCATGACTATGAATTAGAGCAACTTGATGTTACTACAACATTCTTAAATGGTGTGCTTGAGGAAGAGATATATATGCAACAACCTGAAGGTTTTGTAGCTCCTGGAAAGGAAAGCTACGTGTGCAAATTGAAGAAGTCTCTTTATGGCCTCAAGCAATCTCCTCGACAATGGTATAAAAGGTTTGACTCATTTATGACTAGTCACAAGCTGAAAAGGTGCACCTACGACAGCTGCGTTTACTACAAAAAGTGTGACGATGGTTCAATGGTCTATCTACTTTTATACGTGGATGACATGTTAATTGCAGCGAAGAATATAAAGGAGATTCAAAAGATAAAAGACCAGTTGAATGCTGAGTTCGATATGAAGGACTTGGGTGCTGCCAAGAAAATTCTAGGAATGGAAATAGTGTGAGACCGTAGTGCAAGAACTCTATACCTTTCTCAACAAAGCTACATTGAGAAGGTTCTGCACCGTTTCAATATGCATGACGCAAAAGAAGTCAGCACTCCTTTCGCAGCCCACTTCAAGCTATCATCCGCCTTTAGTCCTACCACCGAAGAAGATATAGAATACATGGCAAAGGTACCATACTCCAGCGCTGTAGGATCTCTTATGTATGCTATGATTTGTACACGTCCAGATTTGTCATATGCGGTAAGCATGGTGAGCAGATACATGGCGAATCCAGGAAAGGAGCATTGGGTTGCTGTTAAATGGATTTTTCGCTACTTGCGAGGTACTTCCTCTTTATGTCTGCGGTTTGGAAAAACCGATAATGGAGTACTTGGTTATGTGGATTCCGATTATGCAAAGGACTTGGATAAAAGACGATCGATTACAGGGTACGTTTTTACTTTGGGTGATTGCGCAGTTAGCTGGAAAGCGCAGTTACAATCTACTGTAGCGTTATCCACCACTGAAGCCGAATACATGGCTGCTACGGAAGCAGTGAAGGAAGCCCTCTGGTTGAAACGGTTGATAGGTGAGCTTTCAAACAAGTTATCTGTTAACACTGTTTTTTGTGACAATCAAAGTGCAATATTTCTGACGAAGGATCAAATGTTCCATGATCGAACGAAGCATATTGATGTTCGTTATCACTTCATCAGAGATGTTATTGCTAAAGGCGATATTACAGTAAACAAGATCAGCACCAATGATAATCCTGCTGATATGTTCACTAAAAGTCTTCCAATAGCCAAATTCAAAGCATGTTTGGATTTGGTGGGTGTTTCAGATCGCATTTGAGCCTGATAGGCTCGTGGTGGAGGAAGTATATTTACTTTTCAAAATCAATTTTTTCTCATATGGTGTTTGCAGATTCTTATAGAGATTTGGAGTATGATGAGCTGTTGATAAACTGTTTTGCATGATCATTGTGCAAGTTAAAGTTTTTTCATCCTGTCTCATTTGAAGTCAAGGTGGAGATTGTGGAAGTTTCCTTCAAACTTCAACATTGGATGATTTCTAGAATACCATTCTACACATGTGGTTTTAATTTGTCAAGAATGGGTGGTAGCATGTTTGTCAAGAATGGATGGTAGCATGTTTGTCAAGCTTGGATGGTAATAGACAATTGAATTCATACATTCATTTGCCTATAAAAGGAAATGAAACCAAGCTTATTAAAAACACCACACCTCAAATTACATCTTCATTTTTCTCTCATATTCATACAAATATATATTTGATATATTTGTTTTTCTTTCCTCTATCTCTGTAAACACTGAATATTATAGTAAATTGGTTCTCGGCTTCCTCCGCCCGTGGTTTTTCCCGATTTGGGTTTCCACGTAAATATCGCGTGTTTTTTTCTTTTTATCGTTCGATTTATTCTTGGTTGATTATTCAAATAGTTTTATATTCCGTTGAATCGCTATCGTGATATTTGGGTTTTATACTTCGATCTTGAAGTTATCGATTATTTATTGTAGTCGATTTGTCTACAATAATAATACATACCTATCACATGGAAAGATTTTAGGACAATGTTGAAGATAAAAATCTTTAACATCCTTAGCTGTGAAAAGTGGACGGTTATCTTCACCGGGAGTAGTTAACAAGGCTGTCACAAGACCACCGGTGCTTGTCCCTGCTATCACATCAAAATAATCTGCCAGTCGTGCATTCTTACCGTCTAATTTCTGTCATAATTATAAAACATCCTCACATTTTTTCTATGGTCATTTCAAGATAAAAAGAATAATTCAAGTAACTAAACTTAGTTATAAACGATATATACCTGTAGTTCGGTTTCCAAAAATTCAAGGATGACACTTGGAATGATGCCTCGTACTCCACCTCCATCGATACTAAGAATTGTGATTAGGTTTCCATATGTTAGTGGTTGCAATGGTGATCGTTCTTCTTCTTTGAAAGACATGATGAAACAGAGAAAGAAGTAGCTAGCGGAATAATAATGAGTTTTGTAATCCGAGGTTGATGAGGTGATTTATGTTGTTTAAGGGTATTTATAATAGGATATAAGTTTCGAACTTTTGACTTTTAAATAGTAGAAGGAAGTTGCATGGCAACTTGCAAGTTAGTTAAATGAAACAATCAAGTATTAATTATAAATAGATGTAGATATTTCTTTAAGCGAATTAATAGCTATTTTTTAAAAGTTTTAACCATAAAATAGACATAAAAATGAAAAATACTAAAAGTAGCCACAATTTTGGCAGTTGGGTCACCAGTCACCTGCGAGAATGTATATTTTTGCAGTTGGTTGCGTTTTATTTATTTTATTTTTTCAAACTTCGAACGTCCATAACTCTTTCATACGAACTCTTTTTGAGCTGTTTTTTTTTCATTGTGTTCTTTGTAACAAAGGTTTTCCATGGATATATTAAACTCCAACTTGGATGTGGGAAAATCATACTCTTTTAGCTCGAAAGTGGCTAGTCAGTGAAAAATTAAAAAAAAAAAAAAAAAAAAAAAAAAACTCAACTTTGATCATTCATAAATTTAGCTTATGAACTTCGTTTAAGCTGAATTTTTTTCATTATGTTCTCTGTAACAAGGGTTTCCCACTTTAGAGCCACAACCAAATAAGGAATATGCAAGAAAGCCTATATCAAGAGTTCTCAGGCTATCCTACATGACTACATACAACCCTAGGGCCCTCCACTAGAGGATCACCATCCTGTTGGTACTCTAACAAGTACACCACTACTCTTATATCCTAACATACAAGGATATACATTGTAATACATAGTATAGTGAGGAAACTCACCTAAATCGAAGACCCAAAGAAACACAACAACACACTCACTCCCTGAACTAATCATTCCCGTGAACCGACTAGCACCTAACCAAGGTGGAACCTTAATTAATACCAAAATTCCTTCAAGTTTGAGCCAAGGTCAAACTAGTCAAAAGTCAACAGTCAACGGTCAACAAAAGTCAACTGTCAATAGGTCAACGACCCCCAGGTTGTGGCAAACTCATGTCCATGTCGTGGCCAGCTAACGACAAAACAGTCGATCATCAGAGCACCACCACGACGTGGAAATCCCTTGGCCACGTCGTGGGATTTGGCAGAATGCCAAATTCTTCATTAAGTGCTTAATCCCTATAGATCTAAGCCCAAAAATTCAGATCTACTTCTTTTCAATGACTTAATGGATAAAGTTTCCAACTTTATCCATTAGGACTCCATTCAAAGGCTAGATCTACAACCGTAAGTCCATTAAGTCCTTAATTAGGCTATAATGTAACTTCCCAAAAATACCGAGTGAAATTTTCATTTTAAATAAGTCTAAACCATTGATGTGAAAAAATATATCTATCAACTTTTAAATTTATAAACCTAACTACTTAACTACTTATGTACCTATAAGCATTCTACCTAGTCGGGTTATACAATAGCTTGGGTAATTCGGGTGTCGATCTCAGGGAACGAAATTTCAATTTAGAAAATAACTACTTCTAATTAAACTAAGAAAACAAACTTTAAATTGGGGGGTTTTTCCTGATTTTTCAAGTTCAGTAACTTAATTCAAATTACTATCACTTAGTGAAACTAACAAGAAATGAAATGATTTTTACTTCAAGATTAAAAAGTACTTCCGTTTAGTTCTGATTTCCCTTCTCCTATGGTTGATTTCTAGTGGATGGATTATATTGATTACCAATTCATTAATTTACTAGCTATTATGATCAAATACCTAGATGTACCAACATAAAATCAATATAAGCATGGATTGGACTATAAATGATAAATCTAAGAGTTACTTTCCTATGATCAAGTCAAGTAACCAATCATAAATTATGATTAATTAAGCTCTTTAAAACAGTTAAAGTTATTAGCTTTCAGTTACTTAATCCTATGATATGATTAATCACTAGCTCTAATTATTTAATGATCATAAACAATTAGGTTACAAATTCATGCAATTAGAATGATCATCTATTACAAAGAACTTGATTAATAAGCAATAAAAAACTACAACTTCAACATGCTTGGGGTTTGATTATCAAACACAAGTAAAATCAACATAAAATGTCCATAAATCAAAATCAACACATAAGATCCAGGTTCATCTTCACCAAACATAAGTATGGGGTGATTAGCCCATAACTAAAACAAAAACAAACAATAAATTGAAGTTAACTAGAAAAGACATGGTAAAATCTAGCAAACTGAATGATTTAGTGATGATCTTTCTTTAGTTCTCTTCAAAGCTTGAGTGCAAATCGAAATCTTCATTTTTGGAGGTTTTCTAAGGGTTTTCAGTTGTAAACCTTAGTTTATTCCTCAAGCCAACCTCTAGAATTCGACCTAATTTCCGTATATATATAGTTTCCTAAAATCTTATCGCCACGACGTGGGAGTAGGTGCCACGTCGTGGGCATCTTTTAAATATCGTATCACTCACTGGAAGCTTCTAGGTCAGGACAGATGGCCACGTCGTGGCATTTAGATTGCCACAGCATGGCATGCAATTCTGAACATCTTCTCTTCTTTTTCCATGCTGCTGCTAGCTTTGACCTCCAAGTTTCCAGGTTTTGTCATTTTTGGTCCTTTTCCTTCACGGATGTCCTTTTTGGCTGCAAAATGTAATTTAACTCAATAAGTACCAATTATCTTTAAATTTTACTAAATTATAGCTTAAACATATTAAAATAATGCCTAAGCATATGTATAAATATGGCAATATAAACCATTCATTCATTATCCCAAAAGACGATCAGGATAAAAGTATTCTCAAAACATTAGAGTAAAATTATAAACAGACAATGCAAAATAAATCTCCAGGGGATATAGTGTGATCAAGTCGGACCCTTCCTTAGCCCTATTCTAGCATGCAATTCACATAACATGCATACTAGTCATATACCTAGGTATAGGTATTTTGGGAATCACTTACTTGAGCTCGGTTGATTGCACACATCTCACCCCTTTTCCTTTATAGAAATCTTCGTAAAAAATTTATTTATTTTTCGAAAAGATTACCAGTTCCTCAATTTAATTTCAGACACAGCCGAGAGTGTGCCCAAATTCCTCAAACCAAGGCTCTAATACCAACTTGTAATGTCCCAAAAATAATGACTGAAAACTTCATTTTAATTAAGTCAAAATTATTCATTTATTATCCTCAAAGATGATCAGGATAAAAGTATTCTAAAAACATCAGAGTAAAATCATAAACTATCAATGCAGAATAAATCTCCAGGGGATGCAGTGCGATCAAGTCGGGCCCTTCCTTTTGAAACCAGAAGTACCTGGGAACATTTTAAACATAAGCTATAGGCACAAAGCTTAGTGAGTTCCAAAAAAAATACCACATACCATACATATAATTTCCATAGGCTACCCTCATGGTCTTTTCCCTGGAATGACATGGGCTACCCCCAAGGTCTTACAACCATGTGTCATGGGCTACCCCCATGGTCTTTCCTTGGAATGAAATGGGCTACCCCAGGGTATTACAATCAAGTTCCATGGGATACCCCCATGGTCTTTCCTTGAAATGGCATGGGCTACCCTCAAGGTCTTACAACCAAGTGCCATGGGCTACCCCATGGTCTTTCCCTGGAATGCCATAGGCTACCCCCAGGGTCTTACAACCAAGTGTCATGGCTAACCCCATGGTATTTCATGCAATTGTCATGGACTACCCCATGGTCTTGCATACAAATGTCACAGGCTACCCCCAAGGTCTTCCATGAAAGCATCACAAAGACAACTATCATTCTACATACCAAAATCCTATGGGTCGGCATTGGTGCCTTCGACCCATGAGTACAGTGCATAGACTCACCTGAATTATTCAACATAAGCCCCAATGTAACACTCGTTCCGATGCACGATGCTAAACATATTATCTCCCTCAAACTAAGGACGGTCGTGTTTTTTTCCATGATTTCACTGTGACAGGGAAGCCACAAATACACTAAAACATATATTGGCTCAAATAAACATTGAAACTCTCATTGGATCGTGTCACACCCCCAGCCGGCGGCAGAAACACCGGGTGGTGTAACGTCATTCCTTGTATCACAGTTATATAACATATATTGAACAGTACAAAAGAGTTTTATAAACTACATACCGTTATTGATGATATAAAGTTACATTATTCATGTTTCCTAGTATTTATCACATAATGTCCGAACTATCGCACATGTCTTAACAGATATATGTTCCATACGAACATAAAAGATAATAATAAAACTTCTCCTGTTCGAGTAACAATCCAGCTTATCAAATTCCTAAAAACACATGCGTTTTGAAAATATGTCACATAAAGTTAGTGAGTCCATAGGTTTTGACTCTGAATAAATATAGTACTTTTCCCAAGTTTGAAAAGTATAAAACATAGTTTGAAAATATCATTCTGACTCATACTTGTTTCTAACATATAGTATATATATCCTAGGTATAATGGTTTACTTACTAAATACTTGAGTAAATTACACGAATGGTCCCTATGGTTTGAGGTAATTTGCGCGTTTGGTCCATAACTTATTTTTTTTAACTCGGAAAGTCCCTACTATTTATTTTTGTTATGCACTTGGTCCCTACTGTTTGTTTTTGTTACGCGCTTGGTCCCTGTCTTACCTAAAAAGACTATTATTTAAATAGGGAAAAATGGTGGGGTAGGTAAGGTAAGGTGAGAGAAGTGGGGTTGGGGGTGTGTTTATTTACATAAATTAAAAAAATCAAGGGAAAAATAGTCTTTTTAGGTAAGACAGGGACCAAGTGCGTAACAAAAACAAACAACAGGGACCTTCCGAGTTAAAAATATAAGTTAGGGACCAAACATGGAACTTATCCTAAACCATAGGGACCATTCGTGTAATTTACTCTAAATAATTAGTATACCTATAAGTTTCATATAATATTAATACAAGTGTTTGTAATCCCATACAAACGAACTACGTATAAATATTATTTCAATTCTATACGATTAAAAACCGCTACATATACATCTTATTTCAATTCTATACGA